TATATAATATAAGACAAAAGACACTGAAAATGCATCAAAATAGTTGAAGAAATTCCAAAACACAAAATACTTAATTCCTCAAATTAATGTTCATTTGTTATTTAAATAGAGCTATTTTTACTTTCATAGGACCCCTTCAAACATGATGATCTAATATTTGTGTCTCCTTCAGTGCCGAATCTCTGCTAGATACAACATAACGGATGCTCCAACAGCTACCTAAAAGTTCCCTATTAAACCCACTTGGGAGACCTGTACCAGTCTTGACTTTGCCCGTTGTACCCCAGAGGTGCTCACACTCTCACCTACCCAGTGTTCCATTCTACAGATTAAAAGGCTCACTATGCTCATCTGCCCTTTTACTAGCCCTCTGCCTGACATAACAAGATGGCCAACGGCAGAGAGGAAAGTTATTCCAGATGAAATCTGTCCCATTAAAGAAATTGTCACTTGACCTCAGCAAGCAGTTTTTGTGAAAGAAACTGCCACGCTATTTTACCTGCATACACATAGGACTATGAATATAGAGGAAAACAACAGTATCATCCCCACATTTCATTCTTGAGAATTTTTCTTTGCCTTGACGGACTGCTGTGAAGTTTGTGCTCAAAAGCCTTGCCAGTATCTCAGGTCTCCACATCACCATCTTCATTCACTGAAAGATAAACCACTTTGCTGATAATTATAATCCATGGATATTCAGTAAACTGCACTGATGGTGAAACTAATTTTTTCTCAGAAATATGGAGTTATTGAGCCTTTATGCTTTATCTTGATGCAGTATTTCTTTTAACTTTCTGGCTTTTTTTGCTATTGCTCATTTAGGGTTTAAAATTGGGTATCACTGTCTTGGTGTTTTGAAGTTAAGGACTTACATTGTTAAAGTCCACTAGCTAAGTTGCAAAATTCTTACAGGGCTAAAACATCTTCTGAACTAAATAATGTTGAGTTTTTGTCTAATTATACAGATTATATTGCAATGTCTTTGGCCTACCACAATACTGTAAGGACATCTAGTTTACATATCTTAGTTTATATAAATAAATTAGCCAAAATATTCCCACCTATGTAAGCCTCTGATGTATCAGAGGCACAAAACAGAAATATATATATAACAGTGAGGAGTTCAGACAAACCAATGAAGGGACGAAGGGAGCAATGATTCCTCCAACACGGGAAAACATGGAACAGGCACCCATTCCAACATTCCTAAGAAAAAAAACCAAAAATCATTAATCAATGACATTTGCATAAGAGAAACAATGACTTTTGAGAAGCGCTACTGAGAAAAAAAAAAACAAAACCAAAACACAACAAAACTCAGTCATAACCCTGACCACATTAACTGGCAAAGAAAAGTCAAATGTAACTGAAAGCGTCCCAAGACAGGAAAACATACGATTTCTGCTTAAAGAGACTCAAAAATCCCCTGCACATTCAGAATTCTACCATACATATACATATAGAGACAAAAAAACATGCCATTTCAGTTAATACAGCCTGTCTCTGCCTGAAACTTTGGCTAAATTCCTTTATCCAAATCCTATTTATCAGCAGATTTGCCCATCCATGAAAAACACCATAATATAGTTTTGCTGGTGACTGATCATCAACAATAATACCCAGTTAAAATATCTATTAAAAATCGCACCCATATGATAGATGCTTTCATCAACTCTGTCAGCACAAGTACAGGGTACTTCTGCCTCTAGTGAGTGAAACCTTACTGTTGCTTACATATGACCTATGAAGCACTAAGTTACTTTTACAAAGCTTATTGACCAGTCGTCTTCAGTGTTGCAAATGTTTTGAGTTGTCTGGTTTATAAAGCACTGAAAAAGCTACAAATATAAATCATTAAAGAAATGGCAGCAATACTATTGTTATCCTCACTAGTGGAGAGAGGCCTGTGAGCATACCAGGCAGCCAAAGGACTATTTTACTGTTATATAAAGAATATGGTTAATCTGAAGAGAACACAGTAAATCTGAGGGAATAAGAAGTGAGAAGAGGATAAAGGAAGAAATTTAGCCTATAAAACTACACATAATCATCATATGTAACTGAAAATCTCAAATGAAAAAGCATGTGAATAGAAAAAAGTGATAGAGAAGTAAAAGGTGATCAGGTGAACCAGAAAAATGAAGACCTTAAAATTAACTTGTGTTACCTGATCACTGTGGGATAAAGTTCTGACGTGTAGATGTAGACAATGTTAAATGCAGCACTGATTGTCAGCTTGCCCAGCAAAGACAAAGAGCGACTATTCACCACTGCAAACACTCCAGTATCTGATAAAAGAAAAATGTAACCCCTGTAAAGCTTTCGAGCACTCAAATACATCTCCATAACATTTCAATCACACAACACTATGGAGTGAAAAGAAATCTACTGAAGAACAAGCTATGACAGCCAAGAGTTTTTCTATTAAAGGACAGTATTCATCAGAGGTGATCTGTATCTTCAGGAGGACTCTCAAAACTCAAGAGAATCCAAGGAGCCTTATTTTAGGCAGCAATGGCAGAAACCATCCAGCATAATTTGTGTTCTGTGTCTACAGATTTATTACCTTTATCTGTGCAATCAAATTTGTAGAAAGATGAAAACTCTCCATTTAACATGCTGTGAAAAAAATAACTGAAAAATTTATTTTAAATTCATGGCAGACTTGCTACTAGCCCAAAAATTGTTTCCATTCTATTAAACATAATCCAATAGAAAATGACTGGGTTAAATGACTGAACAGTCCCAGAGACTACAAAATGGAACTATTGCTCAATACCAGAAAAAAGAGAAACTGAGTTTTCCTTTATTCCTCCTCAGTATTACAGTAAGTGACACCTTTAAAGCATTAAAAACCCGCATTCAGGATCTACTAGAACATCAAATTTTAGAAATGCAAGATAAAAATCCTGTAAACATAGTAAAAGCTGAAATTAAGCCCCAACATTTTCTGAGTCGACCTCTAACAAAATACTAAACTAGCTGTTGTCAAGTTGAAGAAAAGAGTAATGGATACATTTTTCAGAAGTGAGCAAATTTTTTTTAGTAACAAGAGCCCTGCTCAGTGTCAATTCCAAAGTATGATAACATGTTTCTAACCTTATTACTTTAGAAGAAAAACAAAAGACAGAAAGATGCTATAAAGTATCACAGCAAATATCCCATCCAGCTCAGTTTCATCAGAATGGCCAGTGCTTGTTCACTTATACCAGGCACATCAGAACACATTAAATGCCTAGCAAGGAAGGCTACAGCATAAACCATTACTATTTTGAACAAATCACGCTCAGCAGAGACAGGTGCTTGCTTCTGGACAGTTACCCATTTTGCTTCCTAAGGCATTTTCCTCCTGGCTGACCTTGCCAGTTCAGCACACAGCTGATTTCCTGGGGTCTTGCAGTTCCATCCTCTGAAAATCTCTTTTATTTTCACATGTTACACTTGCACTGACACGCAAAAACTACATGATGACTGGTACCAGCCTAGCCAGAATATCTCTGAGCATCTGGGCTCTAGCATCTGCAATACTTCCGGAAAATTGAGTTCCATCCCCTTAAAAGAAGTTTTACCTATTAGATTAATTGCCATCTAGAGCAACTTATACACTTGTTCATCACGTTTAATATTTCTGAATCACGCTTCAAATGTTTGAAGCATTTTCTCTCCTTATGACAGGTGTTATGCAGGCTCAAATCTTACAAACTGAGACTAATTTATGTAGCTAGTTTTAAAAGGAAAAATTGCTTACTGTGCAATTTTGTTTCTATAATTTTGAAAAACATCCAAAAATGGAGAAATGAACATTAGTGTGTCTTTACAAAAAGGATATTTAATTTCACATTTCTTAATGATCCCTTGCTTCAGAAGATTTTCAGAATGCTCTCTGAACTGTAAGTCATGTGGCCATGTCACTAATACCACAATTACACCAGTCTTGAACATTACAGAGCAGTAAGGAAAATATCTAAACTTACCCCCAGATTCAATTCTTAGGATATTTTGACATTGATGGTACAAGTTGCATGGGTACTACTTACACTGACATATCATTTGGCTAATGGAGATACCCCAAGAAACATCATTCTTTGGGATTAAGTCAGAAATACTGGAAGGGAGTGATTGATGTGATCAGAAGGGCAGAATACAAAGACAAAAGTTCAAGTCCAGACCTTTCTAACAAGCTTTCCTTAAGGTCTTCGGAAGGTTGCTGCTTATCCTTTTCTTATCCTTTTTGTGAGTTAGCTTCTCTGGCTTCAAGAATTGAGACTCGCACTGGGTATGAGCTTAATCTTAGGATAGCGTGTTTACCAATTCTTATCACATACTCCAGAAACAAAAGGAAATGTTTACCTTTCTTTTTAGGAAGAAACATGACAATAAGACAAGCCAGTCCTCCCAGGAACAGAAATGCACTCAGTGTTCGCTTCCGGCCAAACCTGATTTGCAAGGATAACAAAGCTTTATTCTGCATCAGATCTGCAGTTTGCAGAGCAATGAGTCCTCTAACTTCACGTTGTCTCTTTATTTGCAGTTGAAAATTCAGAATGCCATCTCCCACAAACAATTCCTCTCACACTGTTTTTAAACTAGCTTCCACTGCACTCTTAACAAAATGAGCACAAAGTAGTCTTTATGCAGTGGCTGACAAATTCTCGGATTTTATTTGCTTCCCACTGTACGTGCACATTTGTAAAGCTCCTCAGGAGACATGCAGGGAAGAAATTGGGAGGTGAATTCTACAAAAAGTGAAAGACATTGTCCAGAGTATCATGGCTCAGGAAAAGACTAAATATCTGAATTAACACCTCTCCTCACATACTAGTGCACAGAACAACTATGGCACAACACCACGTGACAGCTTCAGTTCACTTTAGTCACAATAGCTTTGACGTTAACAGTGAGAACAGAGATAACGAGACAGAGGTGGGAATAACGCCATCTCGTGTTAGCATGGAGTCAGCACAGCTAGGTTCAACTGATCAGGATCGGCCTCACCTGCGAGCCAAATGTAGATGGTTCATTAATAAGTGAGCCAGGGAGAACAAGTTCAACTGTTACTTGAAATAAAGATATATCAATGGCAGTTTCAAATGAAAGCTGGAAGCCCCACATAACAGATACAAGCTAGGAGATGAAATGTACAGGAAACCTATCTTTGAGAAAAATTATACCAAAACACTCAATGGGTTAATAAATTTCATACTTACCATTTTTGGTTAATCAGGTAAATACAGATTGGGTATGCTGGGATTTCTATCAACCCTGAAAGGGCTAAATTGGCATAAATACTTCCACCTAAGTCACCCACATTAAGGGTAAGACCATAGTAAACCAAGCTGCACACAAACCTGCAGAAGATAGAAAAAGAATAAAATCAGAGCTGCCACCTTGCCTGCCAAATCAAACAAAGCACTGGCCTGGCACAATACATTATAAACTATCTTAGTGTTTCAGAAGATAGGTCTAAAGTGTTTCTCTGCAAGTGTACGATGCTTTCTAGGTAAAAAAAAAAAATCCTGACTTATGACTCAGTTAAACTTAAGACTACAGTTAAGAAGAACGTACATGAACCTGTGCAAAGAATAAAGTTAAAATATGATTATATTATTTGACTTGAAAAATGATGCCTTTGTCCTTCTTGTTTTTGTCAGGCTTCACTTGCATCCATACTTTTTCAATTGTGTGTACACCCTTTCTCAAACAGTTCAGATGACACTTCTGCCTTCTTTTCATTTCTACACCCTGGTCTAGTTTTATTCATTATTCAATTCTGATTTCTTACTTTTCTTTCATAACCCTGACTGGCTGTTGTCTTTACAGAGGAGAAAGGAATAAGTCACTAATACATTTGGCAGGAAATAGCAATTCTCATTTAAGGAACAGACAAGTCAACTATTCTGCAGTAAGCACTTGGAAAAGCACCAGGAAAACAGCTCTGTTATATGCTGACAAAATTACGTAATTTGTTTTTTTTTTCTTAATCATTACATCTTCCCTAAATATATGCATTATAAAATCAATGTATGAACAGCAATGCCAGAGGACTCACACACCATGTCATACATAAGGTTTATTTCAAAGTAGCAGCAAAACACCTCAGGGCTAGCAGAGCTATCTGAAACAAAATAGGCACTTTTGGAGTTAAATTTCTACTAGTGCCTAGATACATAGTGGGTTCCTGCTCCTTACTACAGGAACTGCTAGCACTGGCAGCACTCTCTCTTAAGAAAACAAAGACACTCATTAGACAAGGTAGGCCACCCAGCTGCTAATGGGCTCCTTACAAACAAAACAAAGAATAATCCATGTGACTGAAAGTACTGACACAGCACTGGGCCAAAGAGGAGGATAGCATGACTAGTCTCATCAGCCTTTAAGGGTCTGTGTCCTGGTTTCAGCTGGGACAGAGTTAACTTTCTTCATAGTAGCTAGTGTGAGGCTGTGTTTTGGATTTGTGCTGAGAAGGCTGATAACATTCTGATGTTTATAGTTGCTGCCAGGACAGTCAAGGATTTCTCAGCTTCTCTGCTGTGCCAGTGTCTGCAGGTGCAGGAGAAGCTGGGAGGAAGCACAGCCCCAACTACTAGCCTGGGATATGACATTAGGTTTAGGATTGAGACCCAGATTGGCCAAAGGTATATTCCATATCATGCACATCATGCCCAGTATATAGATGAGGGTCTGTCCAGAAGTGCCCTCTCTCTGTGGGTCACTCCTCTTGGAATCATCTCTTTTGGTTGTCTCTCGCTCTCTTGGACACTTGGGCTCTTATCTCTGTTCTGGGATAGCTGTTTCAGGACTCTCCCTGCTCCAGGATCATCAGCTGAGAACAGGCTGAGCCTCAGTCATCAGGTGGTGAGCAGTTGCACTGTGTATCACTCATTTGTATATATTACTATAATTATAATCATTATTACTTTCAATTGTAGTTTAGTTATTAAATTGTTCTTAACCCATGAGTCTCTCCTCCCTTTACTTCTAATTCTCTCCCCCATTGCTGGGAGGGGGGGATGGTGAGCAAACAGCTGTGTGGTGTTAGACTGACAGCCCGGTTTAAACAACAGTCAGAAAAGAAGAGGTAGTTCTCAAGTATTTTGAGACTCATAAAACATGACAAAAATGCAAAGATAAAACATCTCAGAACTAGACTGTAAAAATGGCTTCATGTTAGAAATGCACTAAGAAAATAATACAAGGGTCCTTTTTATGTACGGTGTACCTAGGCTGAGACTAAGTACAATCTGCAGGATGAGCCAATTCTTGGCAACATGTTCTCTCAAAGATTTAAAGAGGCAACAGTAGCACAGCTGGGCCTAGAAAGTATTTCAAGTACCAGGTAAACATCATGATCAAGGTGCGTCCCAAGAGAATTTTATATCGGAACAGATCCAAGAAGCTGCCAGCCTCTCTGGAGCTCCTCTCTGCTGGGAGTTTTAATGAAAAAGTGCACTTCTGCTTGCGGTTCCTCTTTGCAATGAGATAGAGGGCATCTTCTGCTTCATTCAACCGGCCTTGTGAATAGAGCCAGCGGGGGGACTCTGGAATGAATCTGAAACACACATACAGACAGACAGCTTTAGGGCTTTTCTTTTCTAGAAGGCTGGACTTGTCTATGGAAATAAGTCTGAAATACACTCCAGTATAATAAAGAATTTTTCAAACAACCCTTCAGGTATAAAATTCACTTACTGAAACAGAGATAAAGCATGTTGAAAGGAAAGTCATGTAATTTAGATACCAAGAAATTACATTGAGCACATATATACACACACACACGCGCGCACAATACTACAAGTTACAGTATCATTAGGACCCTGTCCTCGGATAATTCAGAATCAAGGAGGTACGACATTACTACAAGTAACACAGGATGTTTTTGTAACACCAACTAGTTGTCTTCCATTTCTCATTTTCCAACTTCCTCCCAAATTCTCTCCTGTAGACAGGAATCCTGACAGAAAATGTGCAAAGGTCATGCTCCTGCTCCCCATGAGTACTGTTCACTTGACAGGTCTATAACTCCAACACAGCCTACAAAACTAATCTTCTTCTACTACTTTCAGGTTCCCAGAATTAATTGAAACTTTAGTCTTTTGCAAGAACCTTTTAATATTTTTGCCTCTGACCAGAAGTGACATTCCTTTAAACTTAGAGGAAAGTGATTCTGTGCTTTTATAAAAGAAAAGAGCTTAGAAGGGAACGTGTTTTCTTCCCCATGATAAAAAAAACTTGTAGTATTTTCTGCACAAAGTAATTTTTAATCAACATGGGAGAGAGGCAATGTGAAATCTGGAATTTAAAAAAATCCTTTCTTACAGTAAGGTAGGCCTCTGAGCACAGCTCTAGAGTCCCAAGCATAAAGCTTGTACAAAAAGTTGTACATATCAATCAGAAGTTAATTTTTTTCCCAAAACACCAGAGTTTTGAAGTATCAGAAGCATCCTCTCTGCCTTTCACCTCATGAACAGTCTCTAAGACCTATCCCTGATTTCTGATGCTTCTTTTGAAAGGGTGTGTTGATTCTTTAGCAAAGAGCTTTATTCAGAAAGTTAGTTACTGAAGTTAAATAGGTGTTGAAAGGAAAAAAGCCTTAAGCTTAAACAACAGCTAAAGTTATTTTCTTCTTTCAGTTACTGAGATTTTGGTGTCAGGAAGTACATTGGAAAAGAGAAGCATGCATAGCTTTCAGTGCTGAAGTCCACAAACACAAAACCCCTACTATCTTAATAAAGAAGCCTTCTCTCTATTCTTCTCTAATCACATGTGAAAAATAAAAGGAAGCTGCCCATTTTTTTGTTTTCATGCCACCTTTAAGATTATGTGCAAGCAATTTTGATGCTGTTCCCTCCGTGTAAGCCAAATCATAAGAGAAATATCATGTTATCACATAACCACAAAAACATTTCTGTATCTTTTAACATGTATATATAGTGTCTTGTAGCATACCAGACAACAGTTTAGATTGTCTACACATACCAGGTAAAGAAGGTGCTTCTACACCACTCTAGAGACTGTTCCCATCTAAAGTAATAACACATATACAATACAATGTACACTTAAATTTTCAAATAATGCAGCACTGCTATTTAAAGAAAGCACAGAACATGGGGTGGTAGAGGTTGAGAGAAATACCTTAGTTACATCATTTCATGCCATCCTAGAAAGGCACCTTGACTTAGTTGTTTGGTTTGTTCATCAGGGGTTTTTTTGTTTGTTTCTTATCCTTTACATCTTTCTTGATGAAACTCAGTTTGAAAAATGACTTACAGAGAGAGAAGAAAGACAACTGTTCCTTCCAGGTTAACCACAACAGCCAGCGTCCTCCAGGAACGAATGAAGTACCCTAATAAAGCATACTGGGCAATTCCCACAGCAAAGAACAAGCCACCAATAGATCCTAACATACAATTGAAAACAAAACAAAACATTATCACTCCTTTAAGAAACATTACTAAATCTCAACACACATAATCAGACAGAAACTAACACTTCATGAAGAAAAATTCACTCAGCAATACAGGCAAAACCATAGCTACTTGACAAAACGATATTGTGTCCTTCACCCATGCAGGGCAGAATTACATCTGATTGCAGAGATCAATACAAGTCCAAAAAGCACTCTTCTATGTCCTTGTCACCCAACAAGGCCCCATAAAGTCCTGTAATTCCCAATATAAGTATGTTTCACATTTTTATGTGTAAAATAAATAGTACAAACCATTGGAAAACTGGTATCTTTATGAATATATAGTATTCATTTGTAGCTCTCATGATTTGTAAGATATCCTGTTTTAAAACAGTCTCAGCATAGCACTCCTTTGGCACTTGTCACAGACTGGGTAAGTCAGGCCCCAGAGCTGTAATGGTACAATTTACATGCATCATATCTGAAGGACAGCTTCAACACTAGCAACCAAGATAGTTAAGGGTGTTTGTATCTTTTGTTCTAAATCTTAAGGTTGATTACCACATGGGACAATGTTTTTTTATTTTTACATATAAACAGTTGTGTCATCTTCTCATTATATAAAAACACTTTTGAACTGCTATGGTGTTAGCTTTGGCATGTCTCAAGTGGTATGTGAGACTGAAATCTATAAATTCTGACAATAAAGATACTGGCACTCAAAGTTTACCTGCTAACGCCCAGTACGAGGTACCCACACACTCATTGAGTAGAACAAAGGCCACCAGTGACATCCCACCATTCATCATCCCTACCAAGAAGCGAGAGATGGCAAAGAATTCATATGAGGGTGAGAATCCATTTGCAATGGCAAAGAAGATGTCAAGAGCAAAACCTGAAAAACAAGGCAAAAGGTTTAATTTCAGAAGAGTACCTGAAGAAAAACAGAAGCATTTGTCAGTATATTTTACTTGATGTTCAGTGACATCTGTCCTAAGTAATCACAGTCAACAACTACTGTCATTCAGGCAGCAATTTCAGTACCTAAAGTCAATGTCTAAAAGGGTGGACACAAAAGGAGTGGTTTCTGATACATAATTTGCAGTACTAAACCTTCAAATTTAGTTCATACAGACAATGTTCTCATATACTCAGAACTACTGTCTGGTTCTGGTTAAGATGGGTTGGTATTTATCCTCATACAAAAGCCACAGATTAAATACATGACCAAGTATATTCCCTCATTCTTGGAAAGTAATCTATACAAACTAGAGAAGGGAAATGTTACCAGGGGACAGTACATGGAGAACCTGCACTGCATAGCAGGCCCACCTTTATCTGCTTTGAATGAGGTTGTTCCTTTAAAAACAAATATCATTTTTTTAATTCTACATGTTCATCCATTGACACACAACTTTATAAATACATATACAAAACATGAAGTTTCACCTGTTGTTTGACCTTAGGACAGTAAAAAAGCTTATGAGATTTAAAACACAATGAAAATCACAAATACATAAAAATTAAATCACGTGGACAGGAGATAAAAGGTGTAACAAATTCCTAGCAGGTTATACATGTAAGAACATTGCTAACAAATTACTAGAAATATTAACTGCAGCCTGTGGAGACACCATGAGCATGACACGCATGGTATGACTCCTAAGTCCAGAACACCTCCCAGATATTCAGATGGTGATTGAATAGTCAAATACTAATTTCTTGTCCCTACTTATATTCCTGAAGTATATTGGAAGGACAAAACAAAACAAAAATCACACCACAATTCACTGCTGCATATCAAGCTCTCAGCAGAAACTGGGCTCTTGCCACTGATCTTTAGAGACACAACGCCTCTACTTCATTCATCTTGTTAGGTGGCAGTGGTTACCTGTGAGATAGACTTTCTTCCTCCCAAAGCGATCTGATAGTTGGCCAAAGGAGATTGCTCCAACAAACACACCACTGAAGTAAAAAGAACTGGCAGCACTGACTTTGTACGATGTGTTGCCAATTAAAAACCACTGGATGGAGAGAAAAAAGGCGAATTAACCAGAATCCAAGCATTTCAGCGGTTCATGAACAGCTAACAGTTGGAAGGGAACAACACATACTTTAAGGAGCATCAAGCCTTTCATAAATCTCCTGAGCATCACACTCTGTCAGTCATCAGAGAGTCACCAAAACACAACTGCTGTCTCCAGACTCACCAGGTGGTACTGACCAATTGCATGGTTCCCCCAAGTCACATGCATTCTTTGATTCTGAAATCCAGGACAGGTCCCTCATAGAATATTGTCATTTTTGCAGCCTTCTCCCACTCTCCCTTTTATTGCCTTTTCTCACATATATCTATTAGCTTAAACAGACTCAGCCCTATCTGTTGACATACGGTCTCCACAGTCTGGAGGCATACTATCCAAAAATAAAAATTACGGTGTCCAAAGATAATCCCACATATGCTCCTCCTTATGAACTGTCTTGTCACTGAGAAACACTTTAGTAGTGTTAAGACAGGTTTTCTGGTATTACAAATATTCACCTTTTTTACAGTGTACTTTGTGTCATTTACGGTTCTTTTCAATTCCAAATACAAACTTGATCTTTATATGTTTGATTCTTATGGACTTAATGTCTCAGGTTGAGCCTGACATGAAATTTTTTCCCCCACAAAACTGTAAAATAAAAATATGCCATGTTCTCACCGTTCAAAAGTTATTTCCTTTTGTATTCTAAAAACTCCACATCTTGTGTTCTTTTTTCTACTCCTCTTGCATCTTGAGATAATGTTTCCTTTTAGTGACACACAACTTTTCTTCCTGTGCTGCTAAACTGGTGATTATGTCATTATCCCTGCAATAACACACACTGATCTTCTCCTCATAATCTTTTCTTCCTCTACCAAAATCCCATTAGATATCCTTTCTAGCAAACCTTATTATTTCAAAGCTCAGTTATAAACTACCTCACCATAAGAACAGAGCCATGCAATTAAAACCTCACCGAGATTAGGGAGCTAACGAAACAAAATCATTCAGAAGCTCCACAAAAATAACTTGCTTACTCTCAGAATATGCTTCATTTTGAATTGTCACTTTAATGGCAAGGTGTTTACTGATACGGTAGGTAATGTGACCATAAACTACCAACACTGACAAAATTTAACTCTAAAACTAACCATGTGACCACAAATCAGCTTTTGAAGCTTCTCTAGATTTTAAAAACAATTCCCAGAAAAAATACATTTGTATTATAATAGCATAGGAGAATAATTTTATCTTAAAATAGAATGGTCAGTTTGCTTTATAAGAGCTACAAGAATCATGCCCTAACTTTTGTTATAAAAATTTTAAAAGCTGCCAAAACTCAAAGTCAGTGACATTATATGCTTTCTGAATCATTCAGGGATTATGGGATAATTTAGTTGAAGCAAAATTTGTTCTGCAAATTAATTTCAACACCTAGAAAACCTTCTAAGATGTTCAAGGCTTTTCTCTTCTACAAAAAGTACGTTACATATATATGTTTGATATTCATAAATCAAGCTTTTTACATCAGAATATTTTTCAGTGTAAATTTGCAGTGGTCATGTTATTAGTAAGTGATGACTCAAGATACGCATTAAAAACATCCTCCTCAAATGCAGAAAAAGCTTCAAGTGTCAGTAATGAAATTAGATAGTGATGAGATTCCCCCAAATAAGTGCAATCTCACTAAAATCTTTGCACTTAGCACATAATTCAACTTCCAAATATACCACACGTTGAGCTAACAAATTTTGAAAAAACCTTGTATTCTAACAGTGAGAAATGGGAGAGGTAACAAGGTTTTTTACATGTGGACCTTGGCTGAAAAGTATGAACTACAAAGCAGAATCTACATAAGTTGCCTTGGGATTTTTTTAGTTTTGTATTTTTCAAGTAAACTTAATTCTTTACCTGCTTTTCTTATTCATGCAAGTAAAATTCATGAGATTCTTAATAAAATTTATGTCCTAAACCACTGCTAGGCTTGACAAACATACCTGACTTGTCAAGTTTAAAATAAAAGATTCTTGGATAAATTAAAAAGCAAAAAAAGAAAAATTCCAGAGAAAGTTTTACCACCTTACCGAGCTTTAAATAATGCTTAAAAAAAATTCACCATCCATTAGGATTTTAATTTAAACAGTGGTATAAGTAGTCATATCCTTTTTATTACATAATAAACAGCACTGACTGTTGTACACAACTGCTTGATACTATTCCAAAGCACACAGTTTTTATTAATATGCTCATAACCAATAAAGTTAAATGCTTTAAAGGACTAATTCAGATAGCACTAATGCCTCTGGACAATAGCCGTGAATTATCAAGTGGTACTACACTTAACTCAACAGTACAGCTCCAAATTCAGGTCTTGTAACAGACGCAATCAGATAGCGCTCTTGCACAGGACAATTCGACATTAACAGATACTGAAAGCACCAGGAAGGGCAGGTGTTGCACACACCAGTGTGGCCTCTGGAATAATTTCTGTAGGGACTGTGGCTATACCATGAAAGAAGACACAAAACACAGAGGCCACACCAAACAAGCTAAAGCTTGTTTCAGGACAGAATGGGTGGAGCTGCTTTTTACACCTGACCCCCCCCACTGCCCATGTCTTCCCTTATAGAGCTGCAAAGGCTGCAGAAGTCACTTCCCCTCCAGTTCCTCCACTGCTTGTTAACTGCATAATGGATGCACTACATACATTTGACCTTAGCAAGGGAATCATAAGAAGTGGCCAGAAAGAAGTTTAGGGTCCATAAAGGATTTTGAGCACATTAGTACAATGAATAGCACAATTCCAGCTCAATTGTGGAACCAGGCTACGGGATCCAACACGTAACCTCCACATGGAAAAGGTGGGAAGTTTTTGGAGCTGAACTTTGGACAATATCCATATAGCAAAATAAAGCTTGTTTTTGACACCAGCAAAGATATGAGTAGATTACTTGTTCTCTACCTGGAAGTAGCACCAGTTTCATTTGCTAATCAAAACACCTAGTACAACCAAACCAACCCCACAACCAATACAATATTTACTACACACGCATGAGGGAGCAAAACACATTTCAGACTTACCTCAGAGACTATTGATGTGAAGCTGCTGCTGAAGTGTACATGCTTATGCACCTCGCTGTTATTGGCAGTCAGAAGCCATTCCCCAAAAGCTCTCTGCTCACTCGCTGACTGGTTGCTATGGGTCTGATTAGCCAAGAGCTCTTGGAGATCCCAGTGGTAGGGAGGAGTTGCGCCCACCAATGCAGTAAGAATGGCTTCAGTGGCCACATAGAGCTGTCATGAAGGACAAAAAACACCAAAAATCCTAAACAAATATCCAATGTTTGCTCTATAGTTCAAGCAAATCATTATAAAAAAAATTTGTATTTTATATTCACCTTCCACCACTACAAGATGCCACATACACCCCCCATCTACCAAATATCACGCACTAAAGAACCACAACTTCAACACGGTGGTTCTTGCACTTTTTGTCTGCTGATTGAGAGAAAAGAAGTTCCCTTCCTGACACTTTCCCCTCAGTCAGAGGCTCCCCAACTCCCACACATTCCAAGTGCACCTCCTGGATGCATTAAAAGTTGTTAGTAGTACTAAGGAAACAAAATAAAACTATGCTTTAATGCAAGTATATTACTCTATTATATCCTCTCCATCCACCTGTGTTGTTCATTCCTCTAATCTGGTATTTGGAATAGATCTCCTCCTCACTGATTCATAGCTAATCTTTCCCAGTTTTACCAAAATTAATTATTTCCTATTTTTTAATCTTCTGTGAACCTGTTTTACTCTCAAAAAAAGTGATAGAAGCACACGTGTACATATGCATTTTTTATATATCTACATATTTATACAGACACACAAGGTCTAAATACAGTGATTAACAGCTGGCTTTGTTTAAAAAAGAATAAAACTGACAGAAATACAGACACTTCAAGCCTGGTCTAGAGCTGGGTCACTGCTGCTTGCTCAGAAGAACATTCACAGGCCACTACTTTGTCTACATTGGAACTCCATCTCAAAACCCAGTGGTTTTAGACCTGTTTGAACATAGAAGTGTCATGAGTTCTGCAACAGAAGACAAATTATATAATCTTCCGAAAGACAAAAGTAGCTCCTGGTAACAACACAAAGACCACTCACAGTCCAAATAAAACTGCCTCGTCTCAAGCCTTCACTGAACAGTAACCCAGCATATAACTCCTGACCAAAAAAAAAAAAAAAAAAAAAATCCTGTTGATTCTCCTGCCTACTACTTTCTCCATAAAAATCCCACCTCCTGAATACAGTCCTTGCTGTGCTTCCTGCATCTCCTCTATATGTTCTTGGGAAGAATGTACCTGCAGGAAGTGCAGTCTCTCAGAATGCTGCTACACAAATAATTCTCCAGACTGGGAAGACCATAAATAGGCACGAAAAAAGGAGCCTGAGGACCTCTGAATTCCGATACAAGCAAAACCAGGTAATCCTGTTTGGTTCTGTACAACAGCTGAGCAGTTGGGAGTCACACACAGATCTAAATGAGAATTGCTACTAAATTAACACAGGGACCCCAGAGACTTGAAAGCATTTTCTTTCCATCAGCTCCTTTTTGCAATCTACATGACAAATTGCTACTGTAGTGGCAGGAGGCAAATAAACATTTCTAAAAAACAATTCGCTTTCCATTTTTTAACATAAAAATACTGAATTTCAAAAGGAATTTGGAAGAAAAACCACAATCTGTTAACTAACTATTTAAGCTAAAGAACAACTTCTAGACAGAAAACAATGAAAAGTAAAAGACCTAATCTGGGAAAGAAGGCAATGACTAAGACTACGTGTGGAAAGAGGTGTTAAAAAGCTGAGTGGCCATGTTGCTAGGGATGTGTAGATATGGTACTCTCAAGAACAGTTTGAAATTACTGAGAAATGAGAATTACAGGTCATGATCTGTGGTGCATCCCTGTATTCTGTCTCACACTGACAATTCTGTGTCAGGACTAAGAGATAACATCCTTGCTTTTGTCTTGTGAAATAATAAATGTATTTTTGAAGTAGTTCAGGAAGTTAAGTCCTCCAGGCATTTTGTTTAACAAAGAAAGCATAACACTTCATTTTTGCTCAAGGTGAAGCCCACCACAGCTACAGAAGACTAAATTGAAAAATAAGTGATTGCAGGCACACAAAGAAACACTACAGATTTTTTTTCAATTTAAAAAAAAACAGCCTTAGGCATCCCTGTGGCTGCAGCAAGCAAGGATACAACAAAGATAGAAACACTTTCAATTGATCTGTTAAATCAGAAAAATGTATGAAGATGGAGACATGTTCGATGTTATCAATTAATATTATTCTATATTTAAATTCACTGGAGGCACTGCGACACAAGACTGTTTCCTAGTGATCATCCACTTTGTACTTTGGGTAACAGGTATGGTAAACCCTCTTCATTTCATTGCAAAACCAAAGCAAAAACAAAATCCACAAAACACCCCCCAAAATTCATTTACAATTCTGAAGACCAGAAACATTTTTCTAGAAATGGTCTTAAACATGAAGCAAACTCTAAACTTAAAGAAGTTATGTAGACCGGTGATCAATATAAAATGCTACCAAATAAAATAGAAATATTATATAACAACTTCAGAAAGTATAAAATGGCTACATTATATGCACTTGGACAAACAAAGCCCTTCATTTTTCATTTGTTCTATAACCAAAATCAAGTCAATTTTTTTCTCATTTAATGTATACCTTCTATTCATAAAACACTAATTGGCTCCATGTGGATGTTAACAGTTCCCTACCGAATTCCCTACTTCTGGTCTGTATTAATCAAGATAAATACCAAGCACAGGGGGAAGAGGCAGTAGCTCATAGGCACTGATGATGAAATGCTGAGAGTTTGGTTTTTTTTAAAGTTTCTTCTGTTTATTTATATTCTCTGTAGGTTGAAATTCTACAGTCTGTTGTTGTGGTTTTAAACCCAGCTAGTGGGGAACACCACACAGCTGCTCGCTCACCCTCCCCCCTCCCAGGGATGGGGGACAGAATTAATGGAGGTAAAGGGAAGACAGACTTGTGTGTCGAGATAAGAAAAATTTTTAAACCCAGCTAGTGGCGAACACCACACAGCTGCTCGCTCACCCTCCCCCCTCCCAGGGATGGGGGACAGAATTAATGGAGGTAAAGGGAAGACAGACTTGTGTGTCGAGATAAGAAAAATGTAATAACTAAACTACAATAAAATTGACAATAATTATAATATGATTATAATAATGATAATAGTAATATATTACTATTACTATTATCACTACAATGAGTGATACACAGTGCTCACCATAGAGCTCACCACCCAATGACCAAGGCTCAGCCCCTTCCCAGCTAATGATCCCAGAGCAGCAAGACTACTGAAACAGCAATCCCAGAAAGAAGATAAAAGCCCAAGCATTTGAGAAAGTGAGAGCCAACTCAGAGAGATATGATCCCAAGAGAGGGGTGACCTGCAGAGAGAGGGAGGGATAACCCAGAGAGAGAGGGCACTTGTGGACAGAGGCTCATTTATATACTGGGCATGATGTGCATGATATGGGATATACCACTGGCCACTCTGGGTCTCAATCCTAAACCCAAGGTCAAATCCTAGGCTAGTAATTGGGGCTGTGCTCCCTCCCAGCTTCTCCTGCACCTGCAGACACTGGCACAGCAGAGAAGCTGAAAAGTCCTTGACTGTCCTGGCAGCAACTGTAAACATCAGCACATTATCAGCCTTCTCCTCAGCACAAATCCAAAACACAGCCTCACACTAGCTACTATGAAGAAAGTTACCTTGGTCCCAGACAAAACCAGGACATCTACCTAGATCAGGATTTTACGGTTAAGAGATTAAAAAGCAACACCTTAATAACCTGTCAACTTTCACTTTCTCTGCTAAGGAGAAGGAATTTCATTAACAGGTTTTGAAATTAACTTAAAATTAACATTTTAAAATTAATATTAACAGAAATGCTTGGAATGTCTTAACCAGCTTTATTGACATTTATTTTCATAATAAATTACTTACAAGAAAAATCGAGAATCTCTAATAAGAGTCGCAAGGGAGGGGGAGGAGGAACTTAAAGAGTTTCATCTGTATATAATGAAAACACATACACAAAAATAATTTAAGAAACTCTTTTAGACCTCATGGTTTACCCATTATGAAGCTCAAATGAAAAACAGAAAACTTAAATTCTACCAAGAAGTGCTTCCAACCTTTTAATTAGCTCATCATCAATTCACAAACAGCCTGGCCATTCTAGACAAGTATCAGTGGAACCATTCACTGATGAACAAAATAATGAGTAAGCCACTAACTTCTGACCTTTCAAATACAGAAATATTAAAACTGCATCTTGAGGAAAGACAGAAATTAAGGAAAAACAAATTACTTTGCTCTGGTAGAAGCCTATGATGAAGAGATGGTTACATTTTAGGATTAGAGTCATTTTTCCTAAACACATGACAAGCAGCTGAAAAGCCAGAGGGCCACCTTACTTTTGAAAGTCTGATGATTTCATCTGCTCTGAGTTATTTAAAAAATTGTGATTTGCCTTTAAATTCACACTATTCTCTGCCCCCCCCCTTCAATAACTCTTTTATGTAGAAAAGCCCTAAAGCATCTGCCTGCTGCAAAATTATTATCTGCTGCTGACAACACACTCCTCTACCAAATATCTTTCCCCTCTTGGTAGCATAGTAAGACCAAGAACACCATAAGACAGAAGTTGGAGTTACAAAGCAAAGAATCACCAGGTGCAGAAGACCACAATGATTAATTAATTAAAAAATTAATTAAAAATTAATTTTTTTTCAACCTTAAAATGTAGGCCTCCAAAATCCACAGAAAAAAGTCCAGAATATGTCCAAAGCCTTCCGTAACTTTGTCCTTTTTTTAACATCTGCATTGAAATCTAACACTGTACAGCAAACCACAACTCTCCAGGCCTCGTTTCTTACAGGTTGGTGGAAAATGTCCCCTTAGCCTCTCCTTCTTCACTGTTCCGAACATGCAAACACACACATCTCAACTCTGTTTCATGCTCAGTATCATTTTGGCAGGCAATGGCAGCAGTAGGGGTTTGGTGCTCCTTCTGCTCAGACCAGCCAGCCAGCACATGTGCCCATTAGTCAGGCGACTGCTGCCACCAAACAGGACATGCACAGACAAGGCCTGGTTTCCTTCCCATCCGCACAGGCAAACATTTGAGCCTCAAGAGCAAATAGCTCAGTTGTACAAGTTTTCTGCAAAGACAATCCAAGTGCCAGCTAACTCCTGTGTACACATCTTTGTTTGACAGGGTCACGTGAACACCACACACAACTTGTACCTGTGCTCCTGCCTACCTAATGGTGACAAAAATGGTTTACAGCATTGGTGGTAGGACTGCAAGACACATACCTAGGCTCTCAACTCGTCAACTCAAGTTGCTTTAATAATTATTTTGTAGTCTATCACAAGAAAATGAACCTACCCTTTTCCTGCCAACATGCAGATGTGATCTTTAGTGGCAAAATTTAGTCAAGTACTTTCAGCTCTGCACCTTTTTCACTAGTGCCATCCCAGAGATCAAGAGAGACCATTTGAGATTTCTCAGTTATTGACAATGAACGCAAGATAGAGGGTATGTCAGAGTCTGCTTGTAATAACTGTAGAGCAAAACAGAGGGTGCAGATTGTGACAAAGGAAAGTCAAAACAAAGTTCCAAAGCATTCTCCAAGAACAAAACAATATTCTTCATAAAACAGGATCACATGAGCGAATTTAACTCTGAATATGCATACTTCATTAACTGGTGCCAATAACATCAGATTCTTCTACCTCT